CAGGTCGCTACGTGTCATTATGAAGTCCACATATATATATATATACATATGTAAAGCTATTGAGCTTTAAAGCTATTGATGTTCTTAATTACTTCTGTTTATGTTTGTAAAGGGGTAGTAGTACAGGCAGCACAACAGCAAACATGTTTCATGCTTTTCTTTGAGTTAAAAGAATCGAATCATTTATGAAGACAAGTTATCGATCTGCGGTTAGAACACTGTGTAATAAAAGATAACTTGTACATCAACATGCTGTATATCTGAAAGATAACACAGAGACAGAATAAGACAATATGGAGGCTTTCGTTCAGTGAGGTTAGTTTGACACAGACATGTAGCAAAAGCGTAAACATTTCCATTACACTTTGGGAGTTTTTTCTTCACTTTAACCTATGAAAAATACAGTTCTATGAATATCCATATTGCACATTCAGACTCATCAGCTTTTCTTGGTACATGTAGTCTGACATGTCTAAATGATGACAGCCTGGGCAGGAGACCTGTGAAAGGAAATGTTAACAGTTTGTGCACTTTGTCTGTAGGGAATCCTAGCAGGCTGCAACTCCATGTGCGCTGGCTACCTCTTCCAACCAGACAAACAATACGACGTTACATATGACACAGGGGACAAGGCCATCCAGTGTGGCCGGCATGTGGACATCTTTAAATTCTGGCTCATGTGGAAAGCCAAGGTGAGCCGGGGGGACAGACGGGTGCATACATGCTGGCTAAAAAAGACAGAAAAGCATCTCCAAGCCAATAAGAACCTTCATGGCGTTGTTAGTGCAATGCTATTTAGTGCTATACTGAGTGTTCTTAACTGTAATTATTGGCTTCTCTTTTCCCCTGCAGGGCACCACTGGGTTTGAGCAGCACATTGACAAGTGTTTGGATCTGTCTCAGTACCTATACAACAAGATCAAGAACAGGGAGGGATATGAGATGGTGTTTGACGGAGTGGTGAGCTTCCCTCATTTTATTTTTCCTTTACCGATGTCCAGTTTTAATCACCAGGGTTAATTCACTGCTGTATTTAACAGAATGTTGTTGTATGTAAATGCAAATAAATAAATAAAAACCCACCGTGATCTGTATCTGACGTGTTCATTTCTGCCTGCAGCCGCAGCACACCAACGTTTGCTTCTGGTACATTCCACCCAGCCTGAGAGGCATGCCAGA